TATTAATAATATTATATGTACAATGAACACGGACGGAAGAATTCAATTTTTCCACGTGTAAAATTTAATATGATGTTTTTACTTAAACCATTTTGACCTTTAAATTTGTATCTGTTAACCATTACACTCCGTCTAGTACTTAACAGCACTGAAAAGCCGTCCTATTCAATCTGCTACATGCAGACTAATTTCCCTCCAAAATCGAATTTTCCCTCAAAGTGAGGAATACATAAACTTTTTTTTTTTACTTAGCCATTAAAGTAAATACAGCTTTACTATTTATAAGTGGATTGCCTAACCAAGTCCAATTTTCCTGTGAATACCTAAACCTAGTACTCAATTTTCACATTATCGACGAGTAACCCAAAATCGACTTTCACACCCAATTCATTGCGATATCTAAAAAATGTTCATAATAAACCCAATGAGCACAATTTCGTATTAAATATAATATAATCTATGGCTTAAATACATCAAATGATCCATCATGAAAAATATTAACAGTTTTCTCTAAAATTATAAGCTCCTTTCTCTATACGTCAATATAAACGTGAAAAATTAGAAGATTAATTTCATGAGAATAAGCATTTACTTTGAATTACCCAAAGTTTGAATTATCGAGAATCGACTGTAATTAAATAATATTATAATGTATAAGCAATGTTGTAAAGTATAGGTAAATCGGTTATAATATATTATTCTAATATTTAATGATAATTAAACTTAATAAAGAAGTATAGAACCTTATAGAACCATTTGCATTAATCTTAAATCATAATGATTTAAAATTATTATTAATCAATATAAGTTATACCTAATGTATATATATATATATAGACTTACTAGAATTTATAATTATTTTATAATCAAATAAGCAATACACTAAAGTACTAAACTACTAAAAAATAAAATATTAGATTCATAGGATATTATAGATAGGAAAATTACAATTGAATCAAATACACACATCACACTTGTACATATGGTAATATATTAAAATTAACTTAACAATTTTTATTTTATATAATAATTCTATTTTCAACAATAAAGTCAAGTTTATACGAGCAGCTACTTATTATGTACAAAATTACAAAACATAAATGACCCAAGCCTAGCGTTTAAATGAAAAAAATAACTATTCTTGTTTATTTTTGATTTTAAAATAGTACCTAATACTATTTGATAGAAATTTAAAATTGGCGAACAACTATTTACACTAGTTAGTTGGCACTGTAGAGATGGTAAGAAGTGACAAAATATTATCACGATAACTTTGGTGACAGTGACTATTAATGGTGACTGATTATTTAAATTATCTTAATATTGGTGATACTGACCATAAACATATAATAAGAATAGTAACAAGGCGATCAATATATACTTTTTACTATCATTTCACCGTGTCATCATGTGTGTGTGTTGTTACCATGAAGTCACGAACTGTGTCGTAGTGACTATTAGTGACGCATTTGTCGCGGTTACAAAATAGCAGTGACATGATTTTTTACACATCTCTAAGTTACAGTATATTTCGATATAAGTAAATAATTTTAATAATGAAATAAAGTAAAAATACTATCCAAATATAATAATACCTATTTACACAAGTCATCTTATGAAGTTATCTTGGCAATTAAAATTTAAAACCATTTACCACAAAACAATAAAAACGCGGAACTGGTCCCACCAAAATCGTGTAAAACGCTGGACAATATCGTTCACATAATCGCTCGCATCGCAAATTGCATTTAGTGCAGCCGTACTAAAATTTTTATAGGTATCCTCACACTACAAGATCGATCGTTTATAATATTATTATTATCATTTATCACGGTACGTCAAGTTCCAATAATACAGAACAAAAATAGAAACACTTGGTCGATTATCTAAATTAAATTTACTATATAATATATAGCACGTAATTGATACATAATATAACCAGCCAATCACTTAAAGTACATAAGCGTTGTTATGTAATATTTAAGAGTATTTCCGCACAGGCATAGGTTACCTTACCTTTACAACCTTTTCTAAAATTCCTATAAGTATGTAGGATGATTATCTGATACGTAGATGCAGGGGGGACTGACGAATTAACGTTCTGTTTTTACGGTGAATAGTCAAAAGGACTGTATTTAATGATATCAATATAAAATATTTATAAAAAAAAAAAACAGATAATTACCTAAAAGAAGACAATTACTATTATAATAATAAAGAAAATAAAAAACCCAACAACGAGTTAACAATAAGCATAGTTAAATATAATATAAAAAAGAAAAATAATAACATAATAATATGATCTGACCTGTTCTGGAGCTGGTTGGTGGCGGTTATACCAGAATAACGTACTGCATGCGGAAGGCGGGTGCGCGGACAATGCGGCAACGGACAGAAATACAACACGTTTGATTATAATATTAACATGATGACCACGACGATAAACAATTGTTATACACGAAAAAAACACACTCGTTGTATTTAAAGAAATAGTTTAAATAATAATATAAAATTTTATGATAATAATATTAATTTGACGACGGCGAGTGTGAACGCGTGTCGGCCAAATATATCGTCACGAATCACAATCGTCGGCGACACTGTATTGCAGAACGGCAAGCGAAATCGCACGACGCATATATAAAAAATAAAGAATGCGACAAATAAAACAAAAATAAGAACGAACACTCACTCGATTATAATAAGAAGAAGATTTGACGATGGAGAGTGAGGATGCGCGTCGGCCAAACATGTTGTGGCGATTGTCAGCAAGTAAGATATTTACGCAACGGCGAACAACGAAAATCGGAACGCGTTTATTGGCGTAACACGAGGAACAAGGAGATACGCACTCATACGCGAACCTTTTTTACGAAAAAGAAAGAATTTGACGACGGCCAATACATAAAAAGCGTATCGATCAAAATTGCATTTAATAAAAAATTGAAACTCAATTAACGGCGAAAAAACACAACATAATGCCGAAGGAGATAACTAGTATTACGGATAACACGGCGACATTATGACACCACGACGGACGGACACCATGATAGTCCGGCGGTAATGTCGTCTGGTGCAACGCGCGTGTACCCGTCGTTATCAATATGTCGCGAATGGCGGCAACAAAGTGGAAACCCCTAATCAGTCTCTTCTCATTTTTCAGCCAACTTTCTAATCATCGCGTATATGTTCGTCGCTTTCAATAATTTTGAGATAGCAGTCGCAAAGCTAACTCGTTTAATCTCTATGACAATGCTTCAGCCGAAGTCCCATCTCGAAAAAATCTCAATGGTACCTCAGTGGCATATAACCTGTCATTTTACATTAAGCTAATTAAATAAAAATAAGTAAACATATTTGCATGCCATAGATTGATACACAAATAAAAACAAATTCTATTGACACAATAATTTTATCATTTCATGACTATTCTATTGTCCGAATTGATTACTCCTTCATTTTTCTTTGAATTATTTTTATATACGTCGATAATTATTGTGGACTAACAAAACAATTCAAATTTCGTATAATATTTATACTTTTCACTTTGCAATATTACGATACAACAAAATTTACAATTATACCAAAATATTTAAAAACTAAATATTTAGCACCATACTAGTATGTGTTTCGTTAAAAACAATCGAAAATTTCAAATACTATGACGTAAAACTAGAAAAAGTAGCCTACCAATTGTCTAGTCCTAGGCACGTGCCTATTTTTCTGTACGTTAATCGAACCCTAATATTACGTATTAATTAGGTATACAAATTAATTTTTATTTTTATTAAAAAGTATTTGTAAGACTCAAGTTATTATTCGTCAACATAAACTCTGTAATAATAAGTACCTACCACACATGATATAAGTATTATTAGATGTAATCAATAGGTAATTAAATCAGTGCAGGTATTATAAAACATTCAAATTTTGATGAATTATTTCAGCGACATTTTGTTATATTTCCAAAAATAATAAGATAAATATGTACTTAAAATTTTCAAATTATTATTTTCAATATCTTTATTATGATAAAATTTTCAACAAATTTTAACTCTTTTTGAAATATTTATAGGTATGACAAATTTTCAATTTATTTTAGTATTTTTCTATGACTATCGATAAAAAGTTATTCATTAGGTAAAAAATACATTTATTTATTATTATTTTTAATATTTTTTTAATTAATTGACTCTTTATACTTATTATTACAATTAAAGAAAGGGACTCAACTCGGATAACCTAACAATATTGGCCGGACTCAACTCCGATAACCCAAAAGTATTTGCGGGACTCAATTCAATGTTATACATTTAGAGTGTCGAGAATTTAGGGTTTTCCTGTATGAAGTAGTGAAAATGTCCCCGTTAGGTTAGGTTAGATACTCATCAAAACGTCCGTTATTTGGAGGTTTCCGTTAAGGGAGGTTTCACTGTATATATATATAATATTTTATTTTAATTTCCTATTTAATTTTTTTTTAATTTTCAATTAAAATTAAAATTTATATTATTTATTTATTTTTCAACTAACTTCTTATACTAAAAGTTCTATTTAACTCCATCTTTCTATAAATATATATAAAAATTATTATTTAAATGTTAAAGTATAAAATACAAAATACTTAATAATATAATTGAATGAATTATGTTGTTATATAAAAATGTTTTCTAACCAAATGAAAAATATGTTTTTAAATTAAGATGAAATATATTTTAAACAAATTTAATTAGACTCAAACATTGAAAAATGATTGTTGTGAATTAATATGATTTTATTACTATCATCTCATTTCCCATCAACTATTTGCATGAGTTGAATTGATAAACACGTATTTACTGGTATACTGAATATTAGTTTTATCATAATAGACGTCCATTAAGATTTTTTGGGTGTTGTAGTAGTCTGGCATATAGCCCAAAACATGATCCAGGTGAAATTTATTTAGATTTTTATATCTTACTCTTTCTAACTTTTAAAATTAATCTTAATGTACTCACCATTGCATAAATGACGCTGGCATAACATCCCGTTCTTAGAGACTGAAAACAACAGCAAGATTGGAGAATGGCCATAGTATAGCAAGAAAAATAATTCTTTCCTTTAAAATATACTGTGACTAAACATTACTCCAAGCTGAACTGATCCTCTAAAACAAAAATAAAATCTAAAAATATTATTCAATTTATAAAAAATATATTTAACAATATTCAGAAATTATACTAAGGAATGAACAAAAATTAAACAATTCAAAATGTTTACTTAAGTAGTTTCAATTAAAATTACTTCAGTTTACCATAAAGCTCAGATAATATTTCTTATTTTCATTGTAATATAATACTTTATACCTGGATCGTTTAAAAGCTATTATTTAGATTATATTTCTATTGTTAGTTATATTATTATAGTTAAGTTCCGGTGTTTAATGTAAACATAAATTGTTTTTAACAACTTTACTCTCAAATCTTTGAAACTCAATGTTGATATTTGATTTAACGTACTGTACTTTACGTACTAGTATTTTCTTATGGTACATTCATTTATTGATAATTTCAATTTAATAAATAATTCAATTTTAACAATTAATAATTTTTTAGTTAAAGTGTCTTAACTTTGTTTTAAATTCCTCCTAAAACCTTCCAACTTTGGGGTTAAATTTAAATGATTGTACTTAAATAGTCATATTATGTTGTTTACATATAGAATATATAAATAAACAGAAATGAACAATACAATAATTCATTGTTTAACTAGCAATATATATATATTATACTACATAACAAATAGTGACAAGAGTGCAGACAATTTAATTAGTTTTTATTAAATCATAATTTAAATTCTTACTGTTATTTTTATATTACTTATTTTATTGTAAAATTGTAAAAAATCAATGCTTATGTTTAACATTTATTTTAAGATTATGCAATTTAAAAGTTATTCGTAATCGTAAACAAACAATATTAATATATTTAATGATTTATAACTCGTGTAATAGTTTTTGTTAAAAGTATTTTAAAATTGTATGAAACATAAAATGAAAATGTTGTGATAAGTTATGTTAAAATTTGTCCTAAATTTATACAGCGTAGATTTCAGTTTGATTACTTATTTAAATCAATTTTAAATTCTTACCCATGGTTTTCAACAACATAAAATCATTTATAGCATATTAAATTCCCAAAACCAGATTTTCTATTATGAGACGTGGACAAAATTTTCTGTTGAGAGAGCCATTTATAGTAGACATTAAGCAGTGAAGGTCGGGAAGGTTGATTTCCACAAAGACCCTATGTATTAATACGATTCGCAAAAATACTACCACTGTTAGTCTCTGAAGAAATGACACCCGAGTTCACAATAAGATTTATCCACTAACCAAAAATTTAAATTTATATTGATATATTTTGTGCATTTTTTTTATTATTTTAAATAAGAAAAACAATCTATACTCACATATACAATACATTTTTATAATATCAAAATACATCCGTAATATGAATCGGTTAATAGAGGAAGTCACCTTATTGGTAACACCCGTTGCATACATATAGAGCAAGCATGTTTGACATCGACCCTCGAACCCTTTTTTGAGGTCATTGGTCATCAAGATCATTGGAATATTAAGTGAAATTAAAGAGAGAGAGAGAGATAAAGAGAGAAAATTTATTTTTTATCATAACTATTGTAGAAGATGTATTTTGAAATTCATAATACTATGTATATTCGTAAAGTATGTGTATTTACAAAATGAAAATTATTATAAATTTGAATAAAATGTTTATTACGGTCCGTTTATTCATATATTTTTGGTCTAGTTGATACTTCACGTTTGAAATCCCAGTGTCTTATCTAGCTATAAAATAGGGAATACAATTGTATTTGTATATTTAAATTTTCAAAATAATCACGCAACTCTAGTTTCTTTTAAATCTGTGTAAGAGTTCATCGTTTGTCATTGATACAATTTGGAGACATAGTTTCAATTAAGGGATTAATATTCAATATAAAGTATCATTTGAAAATGCTTATAATGCAGTTTTTCAAATTCATTTGTTGTTTTTAGTTGTAATTCATTATGTAGAACTTGGTCTATTTTATATCCGAGGACACCAATAATGATGCGAAAAATTATATTTTGAAACGCTTAAATAGGACGAATATTTCTAAGATTATTAACATTGGCTCCCAAATTGAAAAACAAGAATTAGATATCATTGAAGTATAAACTATACACTATACAATAATACATTACAATAATACAAAGGTGACAAGGTGATATAATAATTAACGTAGCAGATGCTCATATGGATCCTGATTTAATAATAATATATACGTTTAGAATTATGTACTGGTTTTATCTATCAAACTCTAATTTACGGTGGCTGGTAATGGTAGAATTAGTATTGACTTTTAACTTTTGCATCATTAATCACAAAAATTAGTTTTTTTATACATACAATAAATGCTGAAATATTTAGTTTTGATTCATCTAAATATTTGCAATTTCGCATTTTTTTAAATAAACTTAAATTATTAAAAGTTTTAAAGTAAAGTTATCGTCTTATTATATACCGTGTGTTCATCAATTTATAAAACATTGAACTTCTCGGCCGGATTAAATTGAAATAAATCAAATATTTTTACAAATTATTGATGTATAAATACACATTTATAGATAAATTTCAAAATGTTTATCATTTCGGTATGCGTATATGAAATAAAAATTATTTTATTTTAATATCAACACCTATTTTGAACTCCATATTCGGACAGGCTAATTTCTTTAAGTAATTTTGATGAATCAGCTATGGTTTTAAATTTAAAATGGACTGAATAAAAGCCATTTCCTTTTTAAAAGATAAATACATTTTTACGATTCTCGTTTTTATTATTTTATTATTATTTAAAATATATTGAATAGTTTAATGTTACAATTTAGATATTATTATAATTAACTTAAATTAATATCAACAATGTACCTAAATTCTAAAGTCATTCTACTGATTATATCACATCATATAAATTAAATCAAGTTGTACCTATCTGTGATATGATAAATTGCTAATAAAAATAGTCGTACATTTTAAATTATATCAGGATAACGTAGTACAATATACATACCAACCAAATACCAAAGCTTCGAAAAACAAAACAAATTTTCTATCATTGTACTTTTGTACATTTTTAAAATTGTGTTGTAAAGCTAATCATGAATAAATCTGATGTTTACAATTTACTTGAGAAAGAATAAAACTAAAAATAATATAAAATCAATACAAAAATTTAAAAAAAAGATGAGCTTTTGTACCATTAAAATTTCAAATAAATCTGTCAATTAAAAAACAAATAAATAAAATAAAAAGTGATGATGGGAGATTAATGATAAAGACTTCAAACACACTATTGACCTAATAGCTATATTTTTGGAGAAAAAAATCAGGATTCATTTAAAAACCATTGTAGGTAGTATAGAAAATTTTATTGTTAAAATCATAGATAAATACTTAAGAAGTTGTGACACATATTATAAACTTTATATATTTATTATTATCTATAATATAAAACATAATTGTATAAGGAAGTCAAAGTGGTAAGCCAACAATAATAGTAGTCTTCCATTTGTGTAGTGTCTATACTCCATACACTAAAGGCTATATGTGTAGAAAATAGTTCTGTCGGGAATTGGTTAGTTAGATTGGTGGTTGAAGAAAGTAAATAAGAAAATAATAGAATGTATCAAAATAAAATGTATCCAAAACAAAAATAATATAATTTAGAACTTTTATTTTAGTTATCAATGTCCATAATTCAATAACCGTTCAAAATAAAACCTATTCAATTTAAATGTTAACAAATAAATTTAAAAATTTCCTGGAATATAATTTAAATATAGTCGTTACATACATTAAGTATTTAGTTTCATTAATACAAATTATATATTACATTATATCTTTGTAGAATATGTACTCCTAATATGGTGCATAATATGTTTATGAACCATTTTAATCGTAGTTAAATTTGACAGTAATATTTGTATATTATTAAAAAATAGCAAACAGGTTAATTAAAATGAAAAAAATAATTTAACGATGTGTAAAATGATTGGGCGTATATTACATGAGATGGAATTATGACGTATAAATGTATACTGTACATTTAATTTAGTTCGAATTAGGAATTAACACATGCCATATATACCGTGTTTATAATAATGTTGAAAATACGTGATACATAAATTATTAATGCAATTTATTATTTAAAAATGTAATACTTGAGTAGTATAATACTTTTTGTTATTATAAACTATCACTCACTGAAAAATATTTACTAATATACTCGTATATTATAATATTATATGAGTTTTTATTTTTTGTTTTCATGATAATTTGTATTTAATATAATGATTATAATGTTATAATGTTCTTCATTTTATAAATAAACAAATTGTCATAGTTTTGTCATTATAAATTATATTATATTTAATTTAAAAAAAATATATTTTTCACTTGAATAGCAAATATGCATAAGGCTTTAAATCTATATATATATTATAGATATATTCGAAATAGTTGTATATATATATTATAAATACTTACTTACCTATACATATTATTAGCTAATGATTAGAAAGAATAATTATTAAAATGTTAGTTTTTATAAAACTAAAAAGTCTAGAACAACCTTACGTTATTATGTAATATAGCCACTATGATAAGATTACCCGTATAGTCAGTGTAGTATCCTCGCATGTGAACGTGTTTTTTGTTTTTTGATTTTTTTTTTTTTTAATATTTGTGAGAATGTGTCAACTCTTTTAGTTGAATAATTGAGTGTTGTATCTACTGATACATAAAATAACTACGTATATTAGTATGATTATAAAATATAATTAATGATATTTGTATTTAAATTTAAATTGTATGTCTAAATACGCATTTGCATTTATTATAATATTATGATGAATTAAAGTTATATTGAAATTGTCACATTAACACTTATTGGTTCTATATTAAAAATTTATTTTGAAAATGTACTTTCAACATAAATATTTAGAATTTTAAATTTTAATCTTAATTTGAGTTGATCTATAACTATATCATAAATTATTTGTAAATTTAATAATATAATTTGTGTTTTATTTATTTATTT